TCATAATCTTCTTGATCCACGGACGTCAGTCTTTGTTCATTCTGCACAGCTTCCCATTGCTCTTTCTCCATCAGAAGCTCATTTAACTGTTCTTTTATATTCTCATAATTTTCTTGATCCACAGAAGTCAGCCGCTGTTCATTCTGCACAGCTTCCCATTGCTCTTTCTCCAAAAGAAGTTCATTATATTTGTTATTTAAATCCTCATATTCCCTAACATCGATCGTAGACATTCCTGGTGCTAATCCTTCAGCTTCCCAACCCTTTTTCTCCTCTAAAAGTTGTTCATATTTATTTTTCAAGTTCTTAAATTCTCTGGCATCAACAGTTGTTCTATCTTCTTCAGTACTTGATGAATCTCTAGAAAAGATGCCTGCTGCTTCTTCCTGTTGGTTTTTGTTCTTCTTCTCTAACATCATCTCATAATGTTCTACCTCGAGATTCTCTAAGTTAATCAGATCTTCTAGAGTTAAGTCAGTGCTTGTTTCTTGATCTGTTTTGCCCAGCCCTATAGGTCTGCCATTCTTGTCTAAAATCATGCTTGAAGACCCATCCAATGAAGAACCATCCAATGAAGACCAGGCAACTGAAGACTCATCCACTGAAGGCCTTGTTTCTTGCTGTTTTGTCTTCAGCAACAATTCATGGTGTTTAACTTCAAGGTTTTCAAAGTACGAGATATCATCCAGGGTTATATCTGTGCTGGTGTACTGGTCAATAAGATCAGCATTTTGACTCAGCGATGAACCCTCTCGTCTTAAGCTGTCATCAAGACCTTCACTAAAGGGGAACTCCATCAAGCTTGTCGAGGTTCGCGGTTGTTCGGTAGACTGTTGAAACAAATCACATTATTTAGAACAAGAACGATTAAACGCCCAAACATTCTGACCGAATTCATATACTTTTGACAAATAAGTTATGATTATATAAATAAAACGTAAAATAATAAAACAAAACCAAATAAAAACTAAAGCAGAATAAAAATAAAAAACCGAAGAATATTCATGGCTAAACTTTCCCATGCAAACCGTAACGCCTATTGTAATGCCATGTTCACGTTGTCAGTAAACGTGCCTGGATAAACCAAGCTTGCGTAAGGTACACAGCCATAAAGTACAAGCTTAGGCGCAAACATATTGGTATATCGAATCTAGAGTTGTATGGAGGACATCTAACAACACTTTACCCCTGTTACCTCCAGCGTGTTGTCCGCATTCTGTCCTTCATCATCATCATCTGTTTTTCTGTTATATTGTCCTTGCTCGAGTCCTTTTTTGTCTTGTCCCCGTTTAAGGTCACAGCTACTAATATTAGCGGTCATGTGTTCGTTACCTGTGTTGTCTGTAGTTAGTTGTTCTTCTAGTTTTCGTAACCGTTCTAATTGAGATACGATATTGTCAAACAGTAAATCTGTCATACAACTTTTGTCTTGTTGTTCAGTTAGTTTCATTGCAACATCTTCCATGGTAGAGATATCTTCATGGGACATTTCAGTCATACATTCTTTGTCTTTCCTTTGCTCTACCAAGATGTTTAGTCTGGTTTCCATGGTTACCATATCCGTCATGCTCTCTGTGTCCCTCATCCTTTCATTGTCAATATCCAGGCTTTCCTCCTCATCTTGTAGGTCCACAATGTCTTCCAGGGTTTCGATATCCATTGACCATGGTATCTGACCCATACTTTCGCCCTCTAATCCACTAACCATGGTTTCAGTTAATAAACTCTCACCAGGGTATCTGTTATCCGCTATTAAGCCATTCAAAAGGTCAATCTGATTTTTGTACGATTCTAGCTGACATTCCACTTCATCCCACTTCAATTCTGTCATGACTTCTTCATCCATAGCTTCTTTCTCAGTTTCATTAAAAGATTTTGCAAGAACTTCAAGTTTCTCAAGTTCTTCCTTGTACGAAATCTCAAGGTGCTCAACGTCTTGCCAAGTCAGGTCTGTCATAGCTTGTTTATCAACACCAGCTCTAGACCCACCATACTCAACGTTTCTTATTCCCTCAGCGATTACTTCAAGTTCTACTAGTTTTTCAGTGTAAGATGTTTCGAGGTATACTATGTCCTCCCACTTTAGTTCGGTCATCGTGGTTTTCTCTTCACTCATACCCTCATTTGCCTTGACATCCTTTAATGCTTGCAGCTCAAGTATCAGTCTGTTGTAAGAGTTTTCAAGATGGATGATCTCGCTCCATTCAAGGTCTGTCATCGTTTCAGCATCCATTGAACTTGTTTGTAATTCCGTCATACAACTTTTGTCTTTTCTTTCCAGCTGTTGTTGTCGTAAGTCCTCTTTCATTTGACGCAATTCCTCGACCCACTCACGATAGGTTTTCTCGAGATATTCGATTTCTTTCCACGAGAATTCCGTYATATTTTCTTTGTCTTCTTTTGCCACTTCGAGGACAGCTGTTTCAGCTGYTAATTCAACAATCGCCTCATTTTTAGCTTTCTCCACAAGTTCCACTGCAGCCGATTGTAAGACTTCTTCCTTAACCCATACCTTGTCTGTCATGACACTTTTATCCTCGCCTGGTATGGCCACACTTGATTCTCTTAATGCTTCGTATTCCAAGAGTTTCATCTTGTCAGCTTCTCTCATCACTTGTTCCAAAATCAATTGTTCCTGCAGTTCTTCAATCTGTTCCTTGTAAAGTTGTTCTTGGTTGTACAAGTCTTCCCAGACAAGGTCTGTCATGATTTCTACCTCATCTTTCTCAATGTTCTCGTTAGCAAGCTTCTCTTGTAGCTCTTCTCTCGTTTCTCGCTCCATAATCAATTGTTTCTGCATTTCTTCAATCTGTTTCTGTATTTCTTCAATCTGTTCCTTGTACATCTGCTCCTTGTTGCACAAGTCTTCCCAGACAAGGTCTGCCATGATTTCTACCTCATCTTTACCAACGTCTACTTTAGCAAGCTTCTCTTGTAGCTCTTCTCTCGTTTCTCGCTCCATAATCAGTTGTTCCTGCAGTTCTTCAATCTGTTCCTTGTACATTTGTTCCTGGTTAGACAAGTCTCCCCAGACAAGGTCTGTCATGATTTCCACTTCGCATTTCTCAACCTCTACTTTAGCAAGCTTCTCTTGTAATTCCTCTCTCGTTTCTCGCTCCATAATCAGTTGTTCCTGCAGTTCTTCAATCTGTTCCTTGTACATCTGTTCCTTGTCGTACAAGTCTTCCCAGACAAGGTCTGTCATGATTTCTACCTCATCTTTCTCAACGTCTACTTTAGCAAGTTTTTCTTGTATTTCTTGGATATTTTCACGGAATTCTTCATACTTTTCTTCTACTTGTGTTACTTCAACCCAAGACATGTCAGTCATAATATCTTTGTCACATTTTACTGAACACTCAACTTGTTCTCTCATTGATCGATTTTCTAGAACATCAATGTCTTCACCACTCAACTCGGTCATCACACAAACGTCTGCCTTCGCGAATAAAAATCTACTCATACCATCCTCTAGTTCTTGTATCGTTTGTTCTTTCAGTTCAACAGCATCTTTCATCTTTATCATTTCTATCACAACATCCCTATAGTCGTTTTCAAGGTTTTCAATATCTTTGTAGGTCATGTCTGTCAATGTAGGCTCATCAATTAGAGGAACAGCCAGCTTCTTTGTTAACTCGGTAACTGCTTCCATCAAAACCTCGTTCAAGGCTGCATTCTTAGACTTCTCAACAAGTTCCTGTGTCACCATCTCCAACGCGTCTGCAGCTTCCTTAATCCCACTCTTGTCTGTCATGACAATCTTTTTCTCTTTTAGCACATCTCTTTCTGTTTGTCTTAAGGCTTCGGATTCAATAAACTTTATCTTTTCAGACTCCCTCAAATCTTGTAGCATAATCAATTGCTCTTGCAACATATTGATTTGGTCCTTGTAACACTGCTCTTGTTGTTCTCTTATGGACACATCTTCCTCCAGGCGTTCTGCCATTATCTGCAGGTCATTTTGACTTTTTGATAACTTCTCTTCCATATCGTCTAGTTTTTGTTCATTCTCTATGAATCTCGATTGCCTTGAGATTTCATTCTCCATTATGTACTGGAGCTCTTCATCTGCTACTTCAACAAGAGCTTTATTCGTAGCATTCTTCACCATCTCTTGTACAAAGATATCTAAATTTTCTGCAGGATTGTTGACGCATACCTTGTCTGCCATGACACTTTTATCCTCACCTGCTATATCCAAATTTGATTCTCTTAATGCTTCGTATTCCAAGAGTTTAATCTTGTCAGCTTCTCTCATCACTTGTTCCAGAAGCAATTGTTCCTGCAGTTCTTTAATCTGTTCCTTGTACAACTGTTCCTGGTTGCACACGTCTTCCCAGACGAGGTCTGTCATGATTTCCACTTCGCCTTTCTCAACATCTACTTTAGCAAGCCTCTCTTGCATCTCCTCTCTCGTTTCTCGATCCACGATTAACTGTTGCGTCAACTCCTCAATCTGATTTTTGTACACCCGCTCTCTTGTTAAAAACACTTCCCTCAAATCGTCGGTCTTGGCCTGCAGCTCATGTCTCTCTATTACACTCTTTGACAACTCGATTTCCAACTCGTTCAACTTTTGCATCTTCTGGATGCTATTTTGAATGATATCTTCAAGATCTTCACATGCAATTTCAGCGATAGCTTCAATCTTGGCCTTTTTAACCATCTGTTGTGCCATTCTTTCCAACATCTCTACAGGATCCACGATGAAGATATTTTCTGTCATGACAATTTTGTCTTCACACATCTTATCCATTTTGTCTTGTAAAACCTCGTACTCCGTCAGCTTCATCTTGTCCGCTTCTCTCGTGTCTTGTTCAAATAGTATTTGCTGTTGCAGTTTTTCAACTTGTTCATCATGTAGCCGATCTCTCTTGGTAACATCTATTCTAATCATCTCGATCATAATTTCCAGCTCTTTCTTCTCGCTAAACAAATTAGATAACTCGTTTTCCAATTCTCCTACTATTAGCTTGTTTTGTCCAATAACGTCTCTCATCTTTGCCAATTGCAGAATGTTAGTCTCATTATCCTTCTCAATGTTCTGAAGATCCTCGTCTAAGATGTCTGTTATTGTTTCCTGGTCAGTTTTAGCTAATACTGGTCTGTTCTGTAAATCACAGATGATATCATTTGCTACTTCCATTAAGGCTTTGTTCATCGCCTTCTCGACAATTTCTCGTGCAGTCCTTTCCAAAACTTTATCAGTGTCCTCAGCAGTGTCTTGAACTGTCATCGATTCCTTATCACTCTTAGCTACTACTAGTCTGTTCTGTAAACCATAGATGATATCATTTGCTACTTCCATTAAGGCTTTGTTTATCGCCTTCTCGACAATTTCTCGTGCAGTCCTTTCCAAAACTTTATCAGAGTCATCAGCAGTGTCTTGAACTGTCATCGATTCCTTATCACTCTTAGCTACTACTAGTCTGTTCTGTAAACCATAGATGATGTCATTTGCTACTTCAACCATGGCTTTGTTCATGGACTTACGAACAATTTCTCGTGCAGTCCTTTCCAAGACTTTAGTCGTGTCTTCAATCCATACCATCTCTGTCATGCTGCTCTTGTCCTCATTCAGTAGGGCCATATTTGCTTTTTCAGTTAAAGCTTCGCATTCCAAGAGTTTTATCTCGTCTGCTTGTCTTATTTCTTGTTCCATGCTCAACCTTTCATGAAGTTCATCTATCTGGCTTCGATACATCTCTTCTTTTTCTGCAAATTCTCCCCTCATAAGATCAGTCATTGTCTCCAACTCATCCTTCCCGACTAGAGTGTTTGTCAACTCATCCTGCAGTTTTTCAAGTCTTTTTTCTCGTTCTTCCACAACTTCTCTCAATCTCATTAGTTCAGAAGTAATAGTTATATTGCTTGTTTGAAGGGTTTGTATATATTCGCCAGTAACGTCTGTTCCTATCTGCTGGTCGGTCTGACAAATTGACAACCTTTCAAACAGAAAATGCTGTAACTCGTCAATAGTTTCATCTGCTGTTTCACAAACAGCATCACTCTTAGTCGTTACAACAAGATCTTGAACCATCCTTTCTAATCGTTCTGCTGGATTTTCAATCCAGACATCGTCCGTCATGACACTTATTTCTACAGTCTTTTTAGCCGCATTTGCTTCTTTTAGAATCTCGTATTCTATCAGTTTCATCTCGTCAGCCTCTCTCAATTCTTGCTCCATAACCAAAAGGTCTTGTAATTCCTCGATCTGTTCTTTGTACAGTTCTTCCTGCTTTACCACATCTTTCCATGCGACATCTGTCATTATTTCCACATCGTTCTTCTTACAAACTCTCCTAGAAAGTTCACTTTGCAGTTGCTCCACCTTCATCATTAATGCTCTACTGTTCTCCTGTTCTTTTAACATATCATGGCAAGTCAAATCTGTGTTACATTCAATCTCATGTTTCTCAATAACCTCAGTACTGCTTTCCTTGTCAAAACACTGCATGACATCAGTGTTGCTATCTTGCTCGTGTTTTTCGACATTCTTATCTCGCGACAAAGTTTCTTGCAGGTGCTCCAGCTGTTTTCCCTTGTTCTCTAAGGCAATGATATCATCACAGTTCAGGTCGGTTGTGGTTCTTTTATCCAGCATTTTGACTCCAGCTTTTGCTAGATTTAACTCTAGGCCTTCAATATTTGTTAGAAATTCTTGGTATGTTTCTTCAATTTCAACAATATCTTCCCAGATAAAATCAGTCATGCACTCCGCATCACTCTTGTCTGTATCAAAAGTAATAATTGGGGTTTGGCAAAGATTTTTAGTCTCTTGTTTGTCGTCAAGCAAGAATTTTTCATAAATGCGCTCCATGTCACACAGCAGAGTGCAAGTCAATTCCGTCACGCATTCCTTGTCTATCATTTGCTTTTCTTTGAAGTGTTTGTCAATGTCAAGTAACGTAAAGTCAGTGTTGCTTTTAGTACTGTCAATTTGATCCTTATTGGCTGCATCCAGCTCTAATGCTTCACTAAGGGTCTCTGGCTCCCCCATGTGGGAGTCATACTGTCTGAACATTGTTGGTCCTTGACTGTCTAGTAAGTTCTAGGGTAGGGACGGAAGGCAGAAATGTCACTTATAGTTTTGTCACGTTGTGTTAGGATGCGGTTACAGGTGAGTTAGTTGCTGTGGTTTTGTTAGACACGATGAGTCACGGTTAGGTCTTTGGTTTGTCAGTATTTTGTTAAATGATGAATTAAATATCATCATCGTCATCATGAGTGTTACCACTAGCATCATAATCATATCTACCTCCTCGATCGTTAGAAGGATTAGTAGCATAGTAATCAATACGTTGTTTCAATCAGCGCAACTAGCGATTTTCTCATCACTATAATTGTCAACACCGATCCTATACACCACCGCAATGCACCACCATCATCACTACATTCATCATCATCACCACCATCACCATCATCATCACTACAATCATCATCACCGCCACCATAAACCACCATCACCAACATAATCATCATCATCATCACTACAGTCATAATCACCACCACCATCATCATCGCCGAAACTATCATGCAACACCATCATCACTACAGTCACCATCACCACCAAGATCACCATAATCATCATACTCATAATAATAATTTTGATTGCCGTGTGCGCAACACTATTAGATAATGATCCAGCTGTAATGACCTTGGGTTATACTATTAAGTACTAAGGTATTACAGACGATCTATAGTGACGGATCTAGCCATGCATGCATGCAATTAATATTACTAATGGTATTACTGATATTTGTTAGAATATGAACAAACGTAACAAAAATAATAAAATCAAAATAAAATAGAAGTAAATGAAACAAAACATAATTCAAAAATAAAAACAAAATTTAAACAAAATACATCATCCAATAAATAATGGTAATTAATCCGTGATCATTGCTGCAAGTATAGATAACTTGCATGTACAGGTCTTGTTGGATGTCAATATTCAATAGGAGAGAACAGAGGGTGGGTCAGTAAGGTTTTACACGAAAAGGTCCTACTATATATATGGCTTGACATCAACCTAGTTTCAACCCTCCCTTATGCATAAACGTCCAATCAAATCATTATAGCCCCTCTTCCTATGACATGCCTGTAAATGGTTATCAGTAATGACCCTATGATGGTATGACTCACCCTTTCCTCTAGATCTTTGACTTTTGACCTAAGAACTGCTTCAGTCGCTTCTAAATGGCTGATTTTCTGGAAGAAAAAAACCATGTAGCTTAGGCATGTTTTGTCATAATATAGCCAATTTACACGGCCAAGTGTGATACACAGCCATCATGGACCACCTCACTCTCAGCTATGCTCTAAACTCAATTCAATCTCTATTGAACAAGATGTTTAAATGCTTGATTATCTTCTTACCTGTGGAAGAGCAGTAAGACTAATTCTTGCTTGTTTCAAAGCTTCTATCTCCATGACATTGAGAACATTAGCCTAAAGAGATATAATAGTTATGCCAATAAAAAGACTGAAAATAGAAAAGACTACAATAAGAGCAAAAGAAATGAATCCAATCCCTTCTATTCATTACCTTCTCATTCTCCATTTCTTCTAAATAAGCTTTCACTTCTTCAAGAGACAATGGCAGTTTCTGGTATGATGAAGATATTCAAGTTAAGAAAATTATAAGCAAAACTCTGCTTGGGAACTTTGTGATCATTCCTTTGCCTTGTCTCCCCCCACCCCACCCCTCCAAATGTCACTTACCCTGTCCTCCTTATCTCTCATCTTTCGTGGACTAGCAAACTCATCTTCTGAACCAGCAAACTGAAAAAACAAAAGGGAAAAATATTGAGCATAATCAATGAGAACCGTCTCTTCCACTTCTCTTCCCATTACACAACGAAAAGCACCACTGACAGTAAAAAAACCTACATTATACTGTTTACGGTAAATACTCACAGACATCTGAGACATCTCCTCTAGTTCAAACTCTAGGAGGTCTTTCTTGTCTTGAAGATCTATCAAATGCTATCAGGCAAACATTAAAACACAAGTAAAGAATAGAACTATTGCAAGTAAAGAGATATTGAGTACAAATTTCATTGACTTGTGTACCTCAGTGTTCTTAGTTAGGTCATTCAGTGCTCTGTCTCTTTCATTCTCTGCAGCAATAAGCTGAAATACAATAAAATCAAGTCAGTATGGGAAAGATGAATGGATGGGGGAAGAAATGGATGAATGAATAGATGGAAGAATAGGCGAGAGATGTATAAATGCCATTCAAAGTAAGAAATTCTTAAGGAGAAAGGAAAATCCAGAGGCAATAACTCATGACAACCTTACTATCAATCTCAATATTACTAGCATTTAATAGCATCATTATGATGATATTTTACCTTTTGATAAAGAATCTTGTTGTCATATTGTAGCTGTTGCAGATCTTCAACACCACCCTGTTCAAGTACAATAATTGTATATTGATTGTCAATCTATTTAAATAACTAGCAAGAATTAACTTCAAATATTGGTATTTTCAAATAACTAACTATAAAGGATTGGATATATACCGTCATTATCTCATTTGAACAAACCTGCGCATTGTTATCCATCATTCTTTCCAGTTCATGTATCCTGGTTTGGCTTTCTATCAGGTCAGACTGCAGCTGTTGACGCTCCTTCAACAATAATTACCAAAAGTACTTTTAAATACTAAGAACATGTCCACAGAAATATTTATCAAAGCAGCTGGTATGTGCAGTGTAAGCTGAGTGTATATGTACTCCAATATATGTGCACATCAACTCTTTCCATAGTTACATTGCATATTATGTTGGTCCAAAGGGATTAGTAGGATTAATTTAAAAGCACACCAAAGTTCCTGTATCGATACACATATATAATATGGCTATACTAATAGATTTATGCAGTTACTGACCAGCTCGTCGCGTTCTACGTCAACAGTACCACCAACTTGTGCTTGTAATAATGCATAAGCTCTTTCTAATGCTAGAAGTTCTTTGGTTAGTTTCTTTAGCTTGCTGGCATCTGAACCAGAATCAGTTGATGACTGTGGAATAAAATTAATATAAACAAACCATGTCTCTAAACTATAGAATGTTCTATAGTTTTATATGTACGTACAGCTAACTTTTGCCTCAAAGATATCTAAAACAGACCTCAACAATTATAAAGCAAGTTCCAAGATATCCATAATCACATGTAATCTATTCAAATGTCTCTTAATAAGCCCTATATCAGAAAGGATTTGTCAGATCAGACAAAACCCTGGCAAACTTCCTATAAAATGTAATGAGCTGGTTGTGCTTATGTACATGTTAGATACCATGGAATTTTAATGTTGACAAATGACTTGTAAAGTAAACAGGGATTATATACGGACATTTATATGTTTATTTATGCAAATAAAACAATAGCATGCACCTCTACAGCTACTCCTTCCAACCCCTTCAATCCTTCTTCTCTATCTTTTCCCACTTAAGTTAAAGCAAGTCAAATTAACTTGGTCACTATAAAAGGAAAATAATTCATAAATACAAATTCATACAAGAATGCTTTAACTGGAAAAAAATATGCAATTAAAGAAAGAGTGGATTATCTATTACTTCTCAAGGAATTGGTCAAATATTTGCTGATAATGACAGTTTAATCCAGTGTTGGCTATCATACATTAAAATACTTCTGCAATACCTCTGTCTAGACATATATAGGGGAATGATTATTCTACTTTGGTCCCTTTGTAGCACACCTGATATTTACATTATATATCAAAAAATGCCACACTTATGCGAGTTTTAAGAGCAGACCAATGCTTGATGTATGTAATGGAACTAAAGATTCCTCAGTGAATATATACATTGTTAACACAGAGAACAATGAACATGTACATGTTGTGTACTCTATTAGACAACAGGTACAGTACCATGTTATACCTACCATTTCAGAGACGTCACTACTGACATCAGAAACTCCTGATGCAGCATCATCATGTTCATGTTGTAACACAGCATCCACAGAGGTACGGCCCTGACACAGATAAAACAAGTTTATACTAACAAACTTAGTAGTAGACTATAATTATAGATACTGAATTCTGATTCACTATGCTGGTTTGTTATCAACAACCAGGTTTATTGAGCACTAGTGATAGGATACTAGTGATCTGCCACTTCTTTTCAAATGTGTAGCGAGAGTAAAGGAGCCTGGCTGACCCTATATGGAACAGCACTTGAAAATGAAGGAGCTACATATACCAACACTAAATATATATTCCTTTAACTGCATGTGTGGTTTATCCTTACCAGTTTTAGCTTTTTCCCACTTTTCTTTCTTTGCTTCAGTAGATCTATTCTCCTTTCTTTTTCCTATTTGACAAATTAAAGTTACCATCAGCAAGGTGTTTGAAACATGTTGTGTTGTAACATGGTTCTATACAATCATATTGATCATCAATTACAGAAACATTCAGAAGAAAAAATTACCATTAAGTTTTGTTTGAGTTCCTCAATAGTTTTACTTTGTTCTTTAATTTGCTGCTTGAGTGTTGCAATCTCTGGACCATCAGTCTGTGATGCATCTTGACCACGTGGGCGAACTGCCTTTTTACTGCCAACATCCTTGCCACTACTAGTAGAACCAGGTTTTCTTTTCTAGACAAACATTTTTATTCTAAATAAGTTGTATGAGAGATATAGGATGATGTACATGCTGGCACTTAGGGCTGTGCACTTTATTACTCAACCATCCCCAAACTCATTTAATTGAGGTCTAATGAGAAAGAAAAGTATAAGACTCAATACTAACTAGAGCATTGATCTCGTCCTGTAGAGCCTTGTTCTTGCTTTCCAGCTTCTTGCTGTTCTGTGTTATTTCCAAGTTCTTCTTTTCCAATTTCTTATTTTGGTCTTTTGCATCTTTGTTGCTTCTCTCAAGCTCTGATAGCTAACAAATGGAATTCATATTTTTTAATTTATCCGATTATTCATAGGAGATACCTGAGACTCTTACAGTGCTTTTCAAAAGCATGCGAAGAATCGTCATGATAATGAAGATATATGATGGATGTCAATCAAGATGTCTCCATGACATTTACAAACACATGGCACAATTAGCCCTTGAAAATTTTGTGCTTTAAGACCATATCATGGGAAACTTTCATTGATGTCCACCAAAACCCTATTTTGTTCTGAGGGCAAAGTGTACAATTTCACACGTGATTGAGAAACACTGTACTAGTGTCTACAGGTCAAAAAGACCAAGCATTGGTTAGTCTGCGTTGCAGCCTTCTAGTGGATCAATCTGCCCACTCCTCTCACCCTAATCCCCACCAGGGGGCTGCTATTCAGGCTATAAGCATTAGTCAAATGTCAATTACAGTTTACTGGCAGTTATATTCTAATCATAATAAATACTTACTAATTCGGCATTTTTTGTTGCCAGTTGCTGGTTTTTCTCATCTAGTTTCTTAACCAAAGAGCTCAGCTCTGTATTCTTTCTTTGTAGTGTTCGTATCTCTTGGTTGACACCATGATACTTTGGGTCCTACCAATAATAATATTAATATCGTTAGAACCACAAATATCCAATAATAATTAAGACGGATTGATGATRTGAAGTCACTATTATATCAGTAATCAATTCCTTTATCATACTTTTGGTATGAGTAATGTTCCAAATAAGCTGTCTGAGTAAGTTGTCAAGAAAATTTATGAATGAGATAAGTGATGATATCTCCAACTATCAGTCTATATACGCTAATGCAATAGCATCTAGTAAATAAAAATATTGCATGGACTAGATTTAAACTAGACTAGATTTAAACATCTTAATAGTCAACAATTTATAGCTATTTTATATCAAAGAATTACCTATGAGGTTGTGCTTAAATCTTAAATGTGATGCCATGCTAAGAATACTTGTAAATACTGTCATAATTCAATATTATCAGTTGTGGCTAATACAAGAGCAACGTTTCTCGAGTTTATATTTTATTTACAATTATGATCATCATATTTCTAAAATAAATCCATTAAAAGAAACTATGTTTTACAAAGTAGATAGATTGGGAATTTCTGTAGAATAAAGAATCATAATATTTGAATGTTACTACATTAGTTTGTATATGAAATTCAGATCACACAAGAAGATGTGCAGGTGCCAACAAACACAAACTTGTTCCCTACACAGCTTCATGCAATCTTAAAAATAACTAAAATATCTATAACTAAAAATAATAAAATCATTACAAACCAATGACAGAGGACTTTCCATATGGAAATGGTGGAAATACCACAAAATTGTCTTTCATACAAATATCACATTTTTAGAAGGTAAAAATTAAAAGAGCTTTTTCAATCCAGCTGATGGCAGATTGTGTTTGCATACATTAAATATGCCTGGTGTTCTAGATGTTTGTAATACTCCTGGTATGTTAAGGAATAACAAAATACTGCCACCAGTTAGATTGTTTTCAATAACTCTAGTCTGCTATTGGAGGAAACAGAATTTAATTTAAACTTCAATAATAACAAAAATAGACATGAATGGACTCTATTTTAATAGTAATATTGTATGGATTGATAAAAATGAGGAATAATTTGTGAAATGTAAAACTAACAGTAGTGAAAAAATATTAGATATAAAATAATCTGTGAGAAATAATTTAAATGAACAGATATTATTTTTGTTTTTCATGTCATGGTTTCTCTGCGATTTTTAGCAGATTCTAGTAGTCTAAATGTGCTATTAATAAATATTACTAGCAAATAACAATAATTGTAAATGATTACATACTTTAAGTATTATTGTAATATTTCTTAGTAATGTATAGTTGGATCTGACAATAGGGACATGGTTTATTTCTAGCAGTCAGACTAAAAAGCCAAATATATTAGAATTGACATGCTATACATGTAAAGCAGTTTTTTTAAATGTCTATTTCTTGATCTGATATTATGCTGCTTGCTTCCTAGTCTGTGAAGAATGTCTGTTACAGTATAGCCATCATGAAGGTGAAAACTAAACAGACGCCTGATGTATGCACATACAATGATCCCTGTCTCTGATTGGCTAATCTATTGTATTGATCAGCAAATTAGGAGTAAGGATCATTGTATGTGACTGATTTTATACACGGACAGTAATAGTTTCTCTAACAGATGCAATGCATTTAACCTATTGTCTGGCCAGAACTGGGACTTGTCTGCTCAAATCTTTGCCCTGAAGGTTATTTTGACCACTGACGTTTAGCCAGATATGAAGTATGACTAAAACTCACTTGTCCTGTGGTCATGACCAGGGGTTGATTGGTGGTTATTTTGAGCTCTGCCCTACCATATGGCTGTTGTGAAACCACTCTATAATCATGATAATAAATAGTATACTCACAGTGTTAGGAGAGGGTATGGTAGGTCCACTAGTACTACTGTCAGGTTTAATCGACGATGACATACTATTATCCCAAGCATCAAAAGTATTAGTTTTCTTCCTTAATTCCTCATACAAGCCTTCTTTTTCCATTCGTAACTTGTTGATGTGTCCAGAATCTATACCAAGCTTGCGCTCCAACTGTTCTATGATGTTAAGAAGTTGTCGCATCTCACCCATCTGAAAACCAAACAAACAAAAAAAATTCAGTTTATAAATTAAAACTTCTATTAATAGTTGTTTTCTTGTGACAGTAACAATTAATATCATATATCAATATCCACAGAAAATAAAAATCATTGGCAAAGGCAATACTTTTACAATTAAACTCAAGATAAAAATATCACACATAATTATGGCATAGCTACTTCAAAATGGTTGTTTTATATTTAGTATTTTAATACTACCCTATACTCAAGTCAAATTTAACCTCACCAGAAAGACCTTGTACTAAATATACTACATTTGCTTATAATTTAGGGTCTGGTTACTTTGATCTTATAGCTTTTTAACTTTCTTTTTGATATTTTGATGCACATACTGCATACAACATTATGAATGGTGGGCGGGGAAAAGATCCATGAATACTTCAAAATAAATTATTAAATAAAGTGAGAAAAGAAACCATTATCTTCTTTAGCTTTTAGTAAGGCAGAACCTATAAAATATCATACAAAAATTGTAGACTTTAAAGTAAAAACTAAATAGAAAGCCTGTTATTTATACAAAGAAGAGGTTTACATTTGCAAGTACTTGAAAAATTATAATTTATAATCAATGCAAACAGAACTGAAATATTATTGCTCAGACTTTTATGATAAATGTTATGATTTATCTACATGGTGAGGGCTATCAGGCTCAAAATAAAATTGAAAATTCTTTCAATGATTATTTGACTTCTACATTTTCAACATTTAAACCTGATTGGAATGAAATAACTGGATCCATTTGTATTTTTGAGTATAAGCTGACAGTATTCATGTACACATATGCGAATTATATTGAACAAAGGAATTTTTGACTTGCCTGATACTGTACTGATTATCAGCCATTATCTTCCACCAAACCATCAAAGAATAAATGATGATCAAACACTGATATTGAAGATACTTATTTCTTGATTCTTAGTTTTAAAGGAGGGTCAATTGTGTATCTTTTACACATGAAAACATGTCAAGCAATAATCAATTGTTATGTGCATTTCAAAGACGTACAGTACTGAATCACCTGTTGATCATCCTTGACCATTAGATCCAAACACCTGTCTGATCTATTTTGAGGTTACAGAATAACTTAATATCAGAAATCTAGGTCAACAGTTAACCAATCCTGTTCTACTTATAAACAATAGTCTTGGCTATTTTAAAGTCCAAGAATTTTATCATTTAATTTTACTAAAGGGGTGAAAATCCATCTACTCTTTTGTTATGGTGAAAGATGTTTAATAGTGATAACGATGTACTATTCACGGTTCATTAAAGATGGACTTTTCTTTGTGTAAATCCAGTTTTTGTTCGCACATCTTAACACCTTTTTGTTTACTTTTCTACTGTTTTCTGTTAATAAAATCAYATTCCATCAAAAAGAAAGTAAAAGAAAAAATTTCAAAAACATTTTGTCTATTTTTATCTTTTTCATAATCGCTATGYCTTTAGAGAAAATATTTGATACTACTTTTAGTAAAAACATCAATAAAAATATTATACCAAAATATCTATCAAGCCATCCTATTTTCTCAATAATTGAAGTAAAATTCCTTCTGATGTATATATATATATATATATATGTTATAGGAAGTAAATGGATAATCCAAGCATATTAGCCTGTCATGGCATTAATGTTGTTTCCTTGGCAACAGGATATATACATACTGTGGGTTATATATAGCACAGCTATATATATATTTATATTATTATTCTATAACTTTCATGCAACAAGCAAAGGGTAATGCTATAAAAATGTATCCTGTTTACAACTGAAGCAATATGCAGTCATTTCACATTGTGCTTTTAAATGAATTCAAACCTTCAAATATGACACAAGTCTAAAGCAATGTTGACGACCTGTTGACAGCTAGTCACAGCACAGCTTTGCCCTCCATAAGCTTATTATAGAATTATGATTGGATATTATGAGACGTATAATACCATTATACATAGACTATATTACTTTCGTATCTGATATGGTAAGGGTTGAGGTAAGATCGAATGTAAAACAAGTAAAACACCTAATTAGACATAATTATTTTTGACAGCTTGGGTAATAACACTTTCAATTTTGTATCATTCGTTGGATTTAATTTATAGCTTATTTTACTCAACAAAACCATCAAACACCTATTCTTTTGTAATTTCTTTGGTTATAGAAGGGAAAAGGAATAATAGAGGTTTTGTTTTAGGTTGGTTGTTTTATGGATGGAACTGTATTTCAGGTGAACAAACAAATGTCATGTTATATGCGTAGCAGAAATACTAGCTACTGTTGGTCGCAAATATAATAGTCAACAACAATCAGAATAATCTGTTCATATGTTCACCACTGTACCTTGTACTTAACCTATTCTCTCTCATCTGATATAAGGCTACATTAAACATTACAAAAACATAAATATCGCTGATAGATTAAATTAGATAAATGATAACTGTATCATGCGTAAAGCTATCTCGGAGTGACTCCATTATCATACTCACTTGTCGTCTACTTTCTTGCCAAGAATTGCGCTTGAATTTCTCTAATTCTATCTCATGTTCATGGAATATCCTCCGTATTTCATCAGCTTTTCGTTTATCAGATTCTTGCAGGGTTTTATTAGCTTCTTCAAGCTCTTTTTTCTGCATTCTTAAATCCAAGATTTCTTGCTCAAGTCTCGTCCTCTCGCGATCAAACTCCTTTCTCGATTCCTCCCTGGCTTCACTCCATATTTCACCACGTAGTTTACCGCGCAATTCATCTTTTTCTTTCCCCCAACTCTGCTGTGCCGTCCTTAGTTCATCATCCTTCTGTTTAATGATTTGTAAGATTTCTTTTTCCTTATCTTTGTGTATCTGTTCTCTAAGAGCGGTTAGTTCATTAGTCTTCTCCTTGTGAAGTTTAGACTTCAGTTCAGTTTGCATGTTGGCTGCTCGTCTTTGCTCTTCTTCTCGAGCGTGTTTCAAATCTATTGATTTTTCTCTCCTTAACTGCTTTACGAAAGCTTTCTCAGCCTCTAGCTCCTTATTCAAACTGACTATTTTCCTTCTCAAGTCCTCAGTACTGTACCGTGGTGCTCTTAGTTCTGCAGTACTTAGAGAAGCGCTATGGCTGAGGTTGGGATGTGAAGTAGCACGTTTATCTTCCTTGAACTCAGCCTCACCAGAAGGAATCTTTTTCCAAGACTGACTCCTATTCATGGTCATAGCTATATCTTTTCTTCTTCAGTCTAACCAACCAGTTGTATTTAATACGAGCAATTATTTACTGCTATCCTTGAAGTCCACCTGTAAAAACTTGACACCCTTTTCCATGTTTTATCTTCCTCTAGCTTTCAGTTCTGCGACCGCGGTTTGAGATTCTACACCTTATGAACCATGATATTCTGAAAATGTTCATCTTATCAGGAACATAAACTATTGTAGGGGTATTCAATAACCACAGAGTTTAGAGTAACTGTTCTCTGTGAAGTAATTCAAAGGACGCAATATCTGACGGTGTGAGGAAGATAGCTCACGCTTGCTTGTTGTCATGCATCACACTACTCAACCCCTCCCCCTGGGGGCGGTGGGAATGTATAAGGCGTGTACAAGGAAGTATGGGAAATGAAATGAAAGAAAGGCATAAAAGAGATCAGAGATTTTATCACAGAATAAATTAAAAGCCGGATTAATCAAAGTAAGGAAACACAACTTCAAACCATCTAAAATATTATTCACTATTTCTGTGAAACTAGGTGCGTTGTTTCGGTTAAGCGGGATTTTTCATTTTCAAACTGAGGCATACGAAGATACCGCATTTCTAAGAACTTTCAACACGACAGCACCATAAATCAAAAGTTCCAGGCAAAACCAAAAAAGCCGATGCTTGATGAAGGCGTCTTTTAGGACGAGTGTACAAGATAAATGCAGTCAACATGGCTACAGGAGGGCAGACATTTTGACACTGTCTCTTTAACATACCTTTTATTCCTTCCTTTCTTTGAAAGGTTTAAACCAGTGTTAATCCCATCATTATTATTATTTATTATTATTATTATTATTATTATTATTATTAATATTAGGTTTGTGCTTGTTAATTTCCCATTTTCCCATTCTTTTATTTCTTTATTTTTTCACTCTTTCAACGTGATCTTCTCATATTAATCCGTCAGCAAGTCTTTATTCGGTTCAAAAATATGTTATGACTATTGGAGAAAATATATACACTGGCGACTGAAATAAGTTTTTATACCTTTGCCAGATTTTTGATTATAAAAATATAGTGGGGGAAAGTGAGATAGTTGGAATGGCGATTTCCGAAGAATGCAAAATGATTGAAAAACCTCTTAGAAGTATGCGGAAATTATCTGAAAATATAACAGAACTATTTGCAATATACCATTTAGCCAAAACATAAACCCTGTACTCAAACCGTGGTAAAAACCTTGGTATAAACCAGAAACGTTTTTTTTTTTTTTTTTTTTTGTAATCATAAAAGCACGTGATAGACACGTGATATAATGCGCTAGTGTGATTGGTTAGTGGATTAGAAGACAGAACGTCATGGTAAACAAACACTAATCTGAAAGACAAGTCTGCGTAAATCTTGGGTTCAGTGAATAAAAAAGATTATTGTCGCCTTTATTTGGCCTTTTTACTTCGACAATCATGGCACATCATACTAACGGAAATAGTGAAACATCCAGCGAGTCATTAAATGGTAAATATCGAGTAAGAACGTGAGAAATCGTAATGATTGCGTAGGTTGTTCGATTTGTGTTTTGGCAACATTTTGATAATGTTTTGTTATTTTTTTGTTATTCGTTTTAGGATCTTGGGTGAATTTGGATGGTTCTATGCGCAATGGAAACAGTGTTCATCATTCTCCTACAGGCTCACAATCAGGAGCTATGGAAGATCTTTTAGCTGAGGCAGTAGAGGATCATTACAAGCAAAATTCTAAGTTAGTAAAGGACCATATCTACTGCGGCTTGTTCTTGCGGTTGCTGACGGCGTTATTTACGTATCTTGTCATCTATTTTACTTCCAAAAATACCCTCTTTACATCCATATTACCTACTGGCTTTGCTAATCCATAGTTTTAAGCGTTTCCTCACCTCATATTTTTGTCATTTTCTCTTACATAGCGGAGAAAAGACTCCTTCAACACCAAGTCCAACCCAAGAACTCGCCCAGGTGAATATAATAGCGGGAATAATATGTTATTCATTCATTGTGTGTTTATTGTTTCTTTGCCTTTTTCCGCCCAGTTTCTCGTTTCTAGATACGAATAAGAGGCCACTCGACTAATTTTCGTGTTGCTTGAGATAACAAGATTTTCTCACGATACTAAAGAGCTTATTTCCTTTGGGATTTCGTGATCAAGAAAGGAAAAATCAACCGAGCTTGACATTTGTCATTAATCTTCAGAACTATTATTTGTTCGATTAAAGTTTGCATTTAAAAGCAAGAGTTAAGTCACGGCTTTACTCTGCCTTTTTCAATACCAAGCTTCAAGTTGTTGCTTAATATTTATTATACGGGTTTTACATACGTGTACAAATCATATACAAGGGCTGCACCGTGGGAGGGGAGGGCGTAAAAACTAGATATTTCTCTTAATATTTACATCAATCTTAGATCTTACTTGCTTCAAATATTATGATTTTTAGAATTAATTTTCTAAATTGATTATTAATATATATTTTTTAATTTCAGAGTAGTGTACCCCTTCTACCGCAGGAGCCCAAGACTGATTGGATATGGGAGTGGTCAAGTGGGATTGAACGAAACCCGCCAAAGTTAGTTTTGAAGAATTTTTTTCTATAGGCAATATTGTATCAAACTTAATATCTTCTGTTCTTTTAAAGGGAGTGGAAGCTGCGACATCCAAGTGAGAAACAAAAAAAGACACATTCTCATACAAGGCTGAGCCTGAGAAAGACTAAAGTCATGAAAAGGTTGTCACTAAAATAATTTCATTAATTGTAATATCACTCTACCATCAGCCTTCCAGGGGAGTAGCCAGGATTTTCCAAAGAAGGGGAGGGGCAAATTTAAAAATTGCCATTTTGTTTGTGTGCCCACTACCCCCCCCCCCCCCCAAGACACCTTACGGTTTACAAAAATATCAAAATTTAAAATTCAGTTTTACATTTTAAAAAAAATTGCCATTATGTTGCTGCCATTTTGTTGCAGCGAAGGGGGCCCTGGTGCCCTCTCTATGCCCTTGTACAGCATATTTTGAAAACAGTTTTCATAACATAGATAAACTGTATGCACTCATATCCAATGACAGTCCAAGAAATTGGAAAATTAACAAATGATATATGATTTTACCCTTTTTTTAGTGACCTGCTGAATGTTAATTTCTATATTGTTGTGCCAACCATTATCTTTACTCACCTTGTTGCCTTTGGTATTGGGTAAGTAAATTTCTTTGTCCATAGATTAGCAGAAAACAGTGCGGGGCCTAAATTCATCTATCATTTCTTAATCCAATAGTCTTTATTTGCATGTTCCACTGCCATAGTCCTATAGCCATTCATGAACACAGCTCTGGCAGTACAGTGCTCAACATTAAGGCAAGCCCAATACACTGGGACTAGTAAATAATTTGCTCCAGACCAGTGAAAATTAGGCCTTACTTTACTACTCCATAGACTAGTGGGTTTTTTGGATTACCTAAATAAGCTACTAGTAGAATACTGGATTTATAGACTTACTAGCTTATTGCTTTATTATCCAAAAAAGTAAGTGCCGAGAACTGCAGTAGAATGTAACACCTTTCACATTTTTACATTCTATATTTTTCAGAGTGTATGTTGGAAAAAAGATGGCTGTCATCCAGAGCTCATGAATAAACAAGTCCATATTGACAATTCACAGACACCTGATGACAGAATTATTTATCAAAAAAATAGAGCAATTGAAGCAGACATACATTTTTGAAAAAAAGATGTTTTCCAAGAAGGTGCAACCAAAATATCACTTACAAATCCTGGTAATAATTATCTCTCAATGATAAGGTCATGAGAATAAGTGAATTACTTGACCTTATTGTTACAATCAACCAGTCTCTCAGTTGATAATCATTATATGAAGAAATGCTTTGTACTATTTGAAAAAATGCATTTTTTATTATTCCACTATCTTTAGACCTTTATAAAAGGAGTGTGCTAATATTTAAAAGTTATAAGGGAGCTATATAAGAGGGAATAATCTTACAAAAAAAATCTGACATTCCAGCTAGTACAAATAAATAAGTTATTGGGAAACAAAGAGAAAAATATCATAAAGTAACTTGGACAGATAATTATGAATTTTAAAAATGCACCTATGTCCCATTTTTTGCCGTTGGTTTAGAATGTGTTTAAAATGTGTGAATGACTTAATCTATTACATAGTGCAGTTTTCGTATGACCGTGAAAAGTTCACGGCATGAACACGGTCGTGACACAGCAAGGGATACGCCAGACAAATCACATTTCACGAGAATTTACTCTCCATCCAATCAAATACCCGGAACACGGCATAAACACGGTGAGGACACGGTCACGCCGAGATCACGACACTTTTAGACCATTATCATATTGTGCGTGAAAAAAATCAGCCAATTAAAATTCTAGAAAGTATCATGGTCACAGCACGTCACGCTTACGGCACTGAGCTTTTCACAGTCATACGAAAACTGCTCTAAAATATAATAACAATTGCATATAATTTCCAATGAGAACTACTACTAATATTCAATACCTAATTAAGGCCTTCTGACCTTTTATATTATTAGAAAATTAACAGACAGTATTACTAGATGTATATAGAATGATGTAGTATCATACAACACCTATTAAGGTTACATGTTAGCTACTACATGTACTTCCTATAGTTCATGATYTCACTGGACATCACACCTACTACTTGCTCCTTAGTTTGTTCATAGCCCTGCAATTCCTTTTTTCCTGTGTACCATGTGAGCAAAGTTTGTAAATACAAGGTCAGCTATTGCTAGGTTCTTTAGTATTTAAAAGATATAACTAGCTAAAAACTATTGTGAGCTGCGTCGGTGTTTCTAATGAAACAGTAATGATGAAAAGGTAAATTATACACCGTGAAAAGATGAAAAAACTTACTGATGTTTCGGACGCTAGTCCTTCGTCGGAGTAAAAGAGCTCTTTTACTCCGACGAAGGACTAGTGTCCGAAACATCAGTAAGTTTTTTCATCTTTTCACGGTGTATAATTTACCTTTTCATCATTACTGTTTTTTTAGTATTTGTTTAGCTATAGCTTTTTTGGTTTTAGTATTAGGCAATTTGGACCAAAAGAATTGCAGGGTCTTCTTGTTGCTGCTGGATAATTTACAACACACTGTATGCATTCATGTTAAAAATAAGCTCTGCTTCTAATGTATGTAGCTGCATGCATTGTGTAAGGTAACTGGCATTTTAGAAGTCAATATTTTTATTAATTTGTTGCTGCTATAGTTGAAGTATAGATTAATTCTCTATCTTTTGTATAGAATATTGCATTGCATATTATTCAAAAATAAATCCAGTGACACAAACATTTTGTGTAATCTATCTGCATTTTTTACCCAAATAAAAAAAACTTACCAAAAGAAAATCACTGACTGATAAATATGAGAAACCCCTGCTTTAAGGTTTCCATAAAAAATGTTATGGATAAGTAAGAAAAGCTCTATAAAATATATTAATCAACAGGGGCAGATCCAGGATTAGTCCCATCACACAGAAAAGCGTTAATTGTAGTGGTGTTGGGTGTGGTCTCACATGCCACTGACGAGGACAAGAATGATGCAATATTCCACTCATTTTATTTTCATTAGCATACTTATTGGCAATTGATTTGAATCTGCTGCTGGTCTGTACACCCAAGACAGATTGATTACAGTATAATTATAGTCCCTTGTTGAAGTACACCTTATCAATGGCTGGTCCTCCCATCCTTCTTATTTTCTCTTGAAGTTCTGGCTCTAGATGTTGAACCTTCAATGAACTGAAATACAAAAGACACATGGGAAATTCCTAAATAATACTGTAAGGTGGCAAACCATTAAATTAAACCAAACAAAACATCAATTTCTCAAACCCTGAGCAGCAACTAACTCTCAGAGACTGAATTGGACTTTGGCATTATAGGTTGTGTAAGAGTAAGGTATGCTGGTGCCTTATCTTTCACTTTCATGATCAAGGAATAAGCCATAAGGTTACTGCAGATTTGATCCCACGTGGGAATTGAGTTTGTTTGAGTTGCCATAGGGTTTTGTGTGGTTTTCCTCCCTCCACAAAATGAACACATGAATTGAGTGTGGCATGAATAGAATTCTTGGTGTTTCTGGCAGAAATACAACTCACCATCTTTGTGGGAAGATTGAGCAAGCAACTGGCACCATAAACGTCAAACTAGCCCCAACCATTAACATCTGAAATGGTCCATGTAGAAAACGAATCCTCTGTCACGTGATAAAAATAAAATATAAATTAGGATACAATATTATTGTTAGTTCTTATGTACTGCTAAATATTCTCCTTCATAGTTGTCCAAGGTGTTAAAAAAAGGTCTCTATCATTACAAGCTCACTGTTCATCTTGCTTTGATGCAAAGGCAGTGAACTGTGACTGGAAAGGGGGACTATTGGAATAAGTAATAAAAACAATAAGGGAGATATATACCTGCATGAAGTGATATCTTTCCAACTTTTCCATGATAATGGGAAGGATTGCTGTGAAAAGGGAATGGGTTAATTTTTCTGTAATCTCATTCATTCATTTGCCTGTTCAACCAATCCTTGAACTCATTTATCCCATAATTCATGCATCATTGATTCTCAATGCAGATAATTGTATCATTCCCAATCCATTGATGAATGACTGATTTATACAACATTTGCAAATCCACAATTATTTATTCTACATTAATCTACCACATACACATTTGCCTTTTCTCATTCTTCCACTCGCCCATTCACTGAGTTGGCCAGTCATTCAGTATTTTGTCCATCAATCCTGCACATATTCATTAATTCATCCATTCAATCAATCTGTTCATCCATCCATCTTTTCATTTGTTAAACCATCCGGTTAGGGTATGTCATTCACTTGCCCATTCATTCATTCATCTATTCATCCACTCATCTATTCATCCACTCATCTATTCATCCACTCATCTATTCATCCAATCCTCTATTCATTCACTCATCTGTTCATCCACTCATCTATTCATCCAATCCTCTATTCATCCACTCATCTATTCATCCACTCATCTATTCATCCATCACTCATCTATTCATCCAATCCTCTATGAATGTACTCATCTATTCATCCACTCATCTATTCATCCACTCATCTATTCATCCACTCAGCTATTCATCCACTCATCTATTCATCCACTCATCTATTCATCCACTCATCTATTCATCCACCCATCTATTCATCCACTCATCTATTCATCCAATCCTCTATTAATTCATTCATTCATTCATTTAGTCAGACATGCATGTATCTTCATATTACATACTCATTCCTGGAGCTGCCATGGCTATTCTTGATATAACAACCTGCGCTATGCCTTTTTTAGCAGCCTTTTTTGATTGACCAATAGGATTTCCATCCTTGTCAAACACCATAATCCCATTAATTAACTCCCTAAAAAAACAGAAGAAAATTACTCTACAGGTCTCAATCTATCAATCTCATATCCACAGCCTGAGTTTCTTTTGGCCTGCGGTGAAGAACAAGGGCATGCACAGTTTTCCGGAAGTGAAATATATATTTATCGATGAAAATCATGCTTTCAAGCAGAGTTCTGTGTTTATTTCCGATCAAAATAAGAATTAGAAATGGGGAACATATTTTATTAATTTTGGCAAAGCTTTTAATGTATGTGCTCTTGCCGGAAGTCCTAGAAATCCTGGTCTCAAAAAATGGATTATGCCAGAGCCCTTATTCTTAGCCGCAGGCCAGAAGAAACGCAGGCTCTAGGTACAAGATTGTCAATCTATATAAAATGCTTTTCTGACATGCGTAACCTATTCTAACCCTCACCAATGTGATAATGTTTATATGCAATTTAACAATTAAATAACAGTTTAGTATTGTCACCTTTGTCTCATCAAAGGAATATTGACACAATTAGCAGCTGCAACAGCAACAAATGGAACATAACGAGCTATGATTGGTGGCGCTGTCTGTGAGAGAAAAGAGAAAATCAGTTGCCACTGCTCTTTGCAAAACAACATCAAGTTAAATGCGGGGTTTTCATTAAGGGTTGAAAATCGGAGAATGCTGCAGTAATGTGTAACTGAGCAAAATTCTCCTGCTTGAACAACATACATGAGACATACATGATCTTCTTCTATTTTTTAAAAACTTAATAAAAACCCAGCTGGAAATGTCTTATTCAATTACCTTTATTAGGCTATTGAGTCCCACAGATGCAGCAACAGCACTGGTAGTGGCTGACACATATGCAATGCCTATTTGCCTGCAGTTGCGATAAAAAATCACAATTCAATTAAAGTGCTACTCTGACGAAAATTGCTCAAACTTGGATTCAGCTGAAACTTCCTAAGAATACTCTTTAAAGGTCCAATAATCACTGAATTAAGTGTTTTCTTGATATTCAGGACGAAAGTATGACATTTTTACAATTATTTTTGGAGTCTGTGACGTCATATACCCAACATCAAACATTGCTACATATATTTCTTTGTATATAAATCCTTAATTTATTTTATTCCTATGAAGCCCAAAGGGTGGTTAATGTGCTTATTTCATATAACTTGTGACTATAATTTATATTTTGGGGGTGTTTGGGTATTTCTTTTTCGGCTTTACTACTGATATTTTGATTATAAACTACAAAGAAATGTATGAAGCGATGTTCGATGTTGAGTGTATGACGTCACAGACTCCAAAAAATAATCGTAAAAATATCATACTTTCGTACTGAATATCGAGAAAACACTTCATACAGTGATTATTGGACCTTTAAGAGCATTCTTAGGAACTTTCAGCTGAATCCAAGTTTGAGCGATTTTCGTCAGAGTAGCACTTTTATGCTTGAGCCTTTGCCTTTGGAGAAAGTAGTTTTGTAAGTTAATTTTAGTATGTGACAGAACTGATAATATTTGTATAATGTAGTTTACATACTTTCCAGTAATCTCAGACTTTGCATTTCTGTTGGTATAGTTAACTAGAGCATTGAAAGACTGGTTGACCCACTGCCAAAACACCACAGCTGGGACTGTTCTGAAATCAATACAATAATATGATCACAGGCAATGAAAAAAGGGGGAGTTACTTAATTTATTAGAAATTTATAAATGTATTTATTTTATTTATTTATTTATTTACAAAAATGTATTATAATCGTGTCCATTTCAATTGAAAAACAGTGTTCATGTTATATAAGCAATTGATCTTATAATATTGGATGGAGTAAGTATAAGTATTGCGATTGGTTGCCTTTATCATCTTGATTAAACTTACCTATACCACTGGAGCATTGCACCAGTTATAGCCATTCCCCCAGGCACCTGAAACGTCATGCGCCCAATAACATTCATTCTTTCACCACTATCTGGGTGGAATRCAGAGTCAGTCAAGTGTTTAGCATTCCATATATCTTCAACAGAGAGTCCAGGCCTTTCTTTGCCTTGTCTGGAAAAAAGTGAAAAATGGGAAATGAAAAATGGGAAATCATAATAAAGCTACTAGATGGAAATGCATAATAAAGATACAGAAATGAAGGCATTATATTTCTAATATCTTTTTTCCTTAATTCACATTTATAAGAAGTTCAGCTTTAACTTACTTGTAATCTTCAACTATTTGTTTTGCATCGTCAAGTTCTTTATTAGTCTTGAAGCCTTTTGTCCAATCAGTAATAGCAAAAAAGTGCTTGAATCTCCCACTGAATGTTGATTGGTCCCATCTCGGCGCATCTAGGTTGAGTCTTTCACCCATCTTAACTTAATTAGTTTTATAGCAATAACTAAAGAAGCTACCTCATTAGGTCTGAAAATCAAAAGACGTTTGTTTAAGATTTCAATTAGTTTTTTATCACTTGATTTGGGCTCCCTGTGTTCATAGTCTTCGATAAAACAGTCAGTACAGCATTTCATAAAAATCGAAATGAATAAAAATTTAAGTCAGCGATAATAATATTGGGTGTTATAATATATAGCCTACATATATATATATAGACTAAATAAGAGAACAAGACACTTTAGCTAAGGCATTCCTAACACCAGTTTACTAGTAACAGTGGCCTTAGTGTGTGCTATATCATCCCTGTTGTCTTCTAGAAAATCAGCTTTTATTTTACTAAAGAACTTAACAACCCGAGAAATGTTCATAAGAACAAAAGAACTAATTATACGAAGTTCACAAATTAAGATTAAATTCGATTTTCTGCCGCCAAAAGCAAAACCCTTGAGAGGACACGTATTCACCACGCTTGATCAAAAACCAACATAGGTCTCTGATATTTAGGAAATTTAGCAAAAAATATCGATTATCAGTGGTAAGGAGCATTGTTCTTACCTTAGCTAGTCATTCTACTCCCTAGAACAGTGTTAGAACAATGTTTTACTTGGCTTCTGAGCCGCCTTCCACGATCAATGGAACCAGACACTAGAGAGCCCCATATCACCCGCCCGTTCAACGGGTTTGGAATTGCATATCGCCTTAGGGGGGAGGGGTCAGTAATGTGGACAAAAACACTTTGCAAAATTTGTAAAACAATAATTTTATTGCTTATATTATTAATTGTTTTACTACCTGTTGATCAACATATCTACCTAAAACCCCATGAAATTCAGCAGGCCATTTTTTGTTGAACTGAAATTGCTTGAATGTGATCTGAATAAGGTTCTAATTAGATTCCAGGGGGAGGGGGTAATGGGAGGAATCTGACATCAAAAAAAGCCACAAAATGGGTTACAAGATATGACAAAATAGTTTGACCACTTTACTTAACACTCCTCTAAGCAGTTTGATATAAAGAAGCTTTTGAAGAATAATTTGTGAAGAAAATCAAAGTCAAGTGGACGACACTTCCATTCCTCACTGTCAAAACAAAGAATTACCTTTTTGGTATGATTTTGCAAGTTTTTAAAATTTACTGCTTTTTCTACTTTTTGCAACGAGCAGCCACAACTTGCAATATCAACCTTCATTGAGTGACAAGTCTGCAACTTGCAACTGACTTACAATTGATTTTGTTGCTCATATTACTAGAGTGCAAACAATTAATCCGTGAAACACTAATTAYTAAATAGTACAAAATAGTGCTAATTAAACAATAGAAAACAATGGATTTTGCATGAAATTGTGCTATTTAGTATTACTAAAGTTTCACGGATTTACTGTGGTCACTCTACACCAAACAGGAGAAAATATATGAGTTGTATCAAAAAGTGAAAACACAACATTCTTTAATCTAATTATTAGATTACAAGCATCAATACATTTTACCATCAACCCCTAACATTGAATATATCTATTATTACACTTCTATCATTTACAACACCAACATTGATAATTATTCTACTGTACTGTGTAATTTTTTTTTGATATTTGAAAAATTACAGAATAGTAATATCCATGTACTTGAGTGAATGATGTCAGTTACAGCTTTATTATCACTTTGATTTCATTCACACTGTACCAACAAGTGCCCCTGTTCCACTAACCAGATTTCAGGCTTTATGTGTAAATTAATGTACAATTAAGTTTGATACTTGAAAAAGGATTAATAATAATATTCATCATTGGAACGACTCTGGCAGATTGCTAAACTACATGGTGATTGAAATATGTTCTGAAAGAAATACAAACAAAAAAGCAATTAACCATCACTCAAAGTCTTGACTAGGGTCTTTCATTTTCATGTTTATTGTATGTACTCTGTTTTATTACCATTAATTAAAGTCTTCTTCCCCATATTCCTATGATTTCCTTCAATTGCTTTCCTTCTATTATTGGTCCAATTAGCGGGTTTAACTGTGCTAAGTAACAGGCTAACCAGCTACATAGTGTCGAGTTAAGGAGAGTACATGCAAACATTGTTAGAGGTAGAATTTATGCAAATCAAAAACAATATTAGCACACAGTTAATAAGCTATGCCCAATTAGCAAATCGACGTTCCTTTTCTATGGTTTGTACTCTTATCGAACATGGAATAGCGTCAGCATATGATCCAATATAAGCGCATATATCATATTGCATGGATCATATGCTGATCCAATATGAGCGCACATATCATATCGCATGGATCATATGCTGACACCATTCCATGTTCGATAAGAGTACAAACCATAGAAAAGGGACCTCGATTTGTTTTTTTACTGCAAAAAAATTCACCATCAGCTATTTTTTCAATGTTTTTTAGTGATCAAAACAACCAATGGAAAGTGGGCATGCTCGTTGTCAGCTTATTTGTCTGTCCTCTTATTGATCATAAAAAAATAACCAATCAGCACAAGAGAAATTAACAATTTGTGGTAAAATCATTGATATCTGTCCAATCCATGACTATGAAATGATTTTCATATAAGTTGAGAATCGTATGATGTTAGTAATAATGTACAAGATGCAGCATTAATTATATGCATGTCATTATATGCTCGTGCTTATATGGTAAAAGTCATATGCCTAAGAGTACCATAGGTATAGCTATGGTATATAGTTATAGCGCTAGTTGTTGTGACAAAAGGTACTGTCATTCCTTAGCCAACCAGAGATCAAGTTGCTGATAAAACAAATGAACTTGCAATGGCAAGAACTACTGTGACAATGGTGGTAATGTATGTAAACACCAACTAGTATATATGATCTTGCTTGATTAAAGGATACAATAACCAACAGCAGACTGCCGTCAACATCAACATGGTTTGAATAAGACTGAAAATAGAATAGAAATATAAATTTGAAGACTCAGTCAGCTGATACTAAAATTAAAGATTAATAAACATAATAAAACAATATTTATTGATTGAAGTATGTTGTTTGGCATTCTACACATCACATGATAATCACTCTTTATAGAACCACAGACAAGACAATGAAGTCAAAACATTACATCGTAAATGATAATAGTTACGAATAACTCAGATGATATAAAGTAACATTGTTAAAACGTTAGCCTGCCTACTTGGAACGCAAAAGAGAAAATTATTATGTACACAGAACAACAATAAGAGAAAAGTAAAGGCTTAGACTAACATATTCGAAAATTATTATACATGATTCAACTTCTCAAACGTTAACATTTATCTAGGTAGGTTAGGAATAATCTAAGATTAAAGAAAACGGAAGGAAGACTGATGTCATCTTAAGAATCATGAAATATTCGTACCTTTTATTCTTTCCCCGGATAAAACATGGTACCACTGCACCAATGATAACCCAGAAAACAGTTACTACGACAATTGGAATTGCTGCTGCCCCTTTAGCCGAACCGTCGTTTGGCAAAGAAGACATTTTGATCCTTTTTCTTCTCGATTCAAAATGGCGACCAAGTCATGTGAATAATATGACACAGGCTACCCATGTGATGGAAAATAGTAAAACACAGGACACCCATAAGTTGTAATTTTATTTCATTTCTTTATTTTATTTCATTCTAACTTTATTGATTATATATATATCGACCATAAAACAACTTTTGAGCCGGTCAAAGTCATGTCAGGGCATGGCATTACTAGACAAGTAACAATCTGTGAATTCAATTTTCCATTGCGTGACCAAATCACTACATTGCGTGACATTGTGAGCCCGTGCGTGTAAAGGTCAGCTGTTAACCCTAGACACACATGACGTCATAATCCAACATGGCGGCCATGGTTTGTAGAAGAAGTGTTTCCAATGTCTTCGGTATTTCTACTCGAATCGCTGAAAATCTTCGAACTTTAAAAAACCCAAAGGTATCCTAAGGAATCTTTCTTTCGTTTGAAGTATTTCCCCCAGAAATCGCTTGATTGTTCAAATGGTAGCTTTTGTTGAAACGTGCTTAATATTAGCTGTCAGATAAGATATTCAGTACCTATACACAGTGTTGCCTTATCACTTTAGTATTATGCTTTTATTCATCGATCTATTGATATTTTTACATGCAGCATCTTTATGTGGAGGGAAACATATCTATTTTGTACATTGTTATAGTCATATTTGAATTGTTAATGAGTAGTATTGTGGTTTTCTTCCCTTAGACGCCTTATAAATATTAGTAATACATCTGTTTACTTACTTGTATAAATAGGTTTTCCCTGCATCAATTCAACTGAGTCTGGGACGCAGATTACTAAGCACAGCGGAACCAAGTGAATCAAATATAAACACACCTGCACAGTTTGGTGGTCGCCAAACARTGACCCTCATCCCTGGAGATGGTGTTGGACCTGAGGTTGTTAACTGTGTCAAACAAATATTCAGGTGAATTAACATAAATAATTGGGCTGTCTTTTTTTTTCTTCTTTTTTTTTCTTTTTTTTTTTTTTTTTTTTTTTTTTTTTTTTTTTTTTTTGATTTTAAAATTTACCATTTGTTCACCATATTTTCAAATAGCCTAAGACAGAAAGTTGGCTCTAAAGTCTTGTCATTTACTTTCATTTCTATTTTTCATTTATACATTTTTTTACTTCATTTTTCTGCATTATTTATGCACCTATCAGCGGCTTCCCCGGGGGTCGACCCCCGGGCTGACCCCGGAGATTGTAAAAATTCATAAACAATGTTGATCATTTTTCCCAGGGGTAGGGAAGTTGTTCTTTTCAATGTCCCCTGGTCGAGGCATTCAAATCTAGAATCTCCCTCATTTTGGTTGAAATTATTGTTATTGTATTTTGAAAACTGAACTCAACGCGTAACCCGTGCGGTTTGCTCGATATTTCAGGTAGTTTTTCATTGAAAAGATTGAAAAAAAACTCATGAATTGAAGAATTCACATTTAAAAGTAAAAAGTAAATCAAGTTGCCTTCGATTTCGTTTCTATGTAACAACAAAGAATGTCCAAAAAAAAATACTTCACAGTGGAATTCTCTCACCTCGTCAGCCATCTTGACGAGCAGAAGCATCTGGGTATTGTCGAATAAACACAGGTAACCCAGCCGGACCAAAAACGTCCGTGGTCTCAAAATTTTTAAAATCAGAAGCTATTTCTTTAACTAGAGAGTAAAATCAATCCCCCTGGTAACCTCCGCAATGAAAATAATTTCATTGCAATCCCCCACCTCAGTTTTTAGCCACGAAACCAATGTCGCAAATTTTCCCGACCCCAGGGGGAATAACTGGATCTAATCCTTCTATATTCTCCCACCCATCTCCCTGGTCAGCCCGGGGGTCGACCCCACGGGGAAGCCGCTGATAGGTGCATTATTCAGTTCACTTTTTTACCATAGGGTTACTGGAGTTCCTGTTGACTGGGAGGAAGTCAATGTCAGGTAATAATCAAGTCTAGTTCATGTGTAATAATAGTATCAACCAGCTGCAGATTATAGCTCTCACTATTCATAGTATATGTACCTCATCATTTTTCCATTATTCCTCTTCCGCAGTGACTTGGGATATGGCAACAGATACACACTAGAGGATGTAGTAGAGTCACTAAACAGAACTGGTGTTGCACTTAAAGGTAAACTAACCAGTTACTATTTATAGAAGAATGTGATTGAGAAATATTATCAGTCTTGCACATATTTTAAGTGGTTCAGATTCAGACATTTCTTTGTGTTTTTCCCTGAAGTAAAAATACTTCTCTGATAACTTGTTTTGTTTTAGGTGCACTAACAACGCCATCAAATATCAATACACAAGATCACCTCTCCCTCAACCAACGAATGAAGTATGTAACAAAGAATTTGAATTGGATTTAGCTTTAACGGAGAAATATAAATTATTGCATTCATATGACACTTTCATATATTCAAACAAAAAGGTTATACGATATATAGTCTACTGCATGGAAAAAAAACAAATTCTCTTAGTTTAACATCTTATATTTATTTTACTTTTTCTAACAGAATTGAACTTGATCTTTTTGCCAATGTGGTTCACTGTAGAAGCCTCAAAGGGTTCAAAACAAGGCAAGAATGAAATTTAAATAACTATATACAATACAAATCTGACAATTGTACTGTACACGTATATGTATACTGTAACAATTTAGAAACATTAATTGCTATTGATGTATGATTGGTCAAAATTTGATCATTTACAGGCACAATGATGTTGATCTTGTTGTGATTAGAGAACAGACTGAAGGAGAATACAGCCACCTGGAACACGAGGTAATAGCTATGATCAAGGATCTTCTGTAAATTGGTTTAATTTGTTTTTACTTATCAACTCGTATTTTTATCTTGATGTCCATCAGAGTGTTCCAGGTGTTGTGGAGATGCTGAAGGTGATCACAAGACAGAAGTCACAAAGAATTGCTAAATTTGCCTTTGATTATGCAACAAAACACCAGCGTAAGAAGGTTACTGCAGTACACAAAGCAAACATCATGTAAGCACATCTGCTCTATTGTACTTATAACATGCTGTCATGTTTTGATCACTTTATCTGTATTACCCTTCCTGAAGTGGCAGAAGGATTATACAACACATTTCTACAACTTTGGGTCAGCTAATATTACTTTATCCTTAACATTACATTGACATACGTAGAGACTTCGGAGTATACAATTTGAGATTTTCTTTCTTTTTCAGGAAAAAGAGTGATGGCTTGTTTCTAAAAACTTGTGATGAGGTTTCAAAACTCTACCCTAAAATCAAGTTTGAGGGAATGATAGTAGACAACACCTGCATGCAGGCAAGACTTGTTTTTTTCATTTGTTAATCAAGAATAATTCTCCAGCTTATTGGTATCATTGTTGTTTTGTAGCTTGTTTCCAAGCCTCATCAGTTTGATGTGATGGTACTTCCCAGTCTTTATGGCAGCATTGTTGATAATGTTGGAGCAGGGTTGGTAGGAGGTGCTGGCATTGTACCTGGCGTCAGCATCGGCAGTCACTTTGCCCTTTTTGAACCTGTAAGTTACGTTTACATCTGAGTTTTTAATCCCACTTTGATGATGTACGTTAACTTATCGATGGCCACCATACACTTAACCAATATGGATGTCATTTCTTTGAAGGGTGCACGGCATACCTATGCTTCTATGGCTGGCAGGAATGTTGCTAACCCAACAGCCATGTTGCTTGCCGCAGTTGATATGCTGAATCATCTCAAGTGAGTACTTCCCAACAGTAAACCCATAACCATTAAATACACCCTTGTACTTACCATACTGCATTACTTACTGGCACTAGCTATAATACATATTACCATATAATACAACCAGTAAAACTGCTCTTATGCTTGTATTTATAGCTTGAATTCCTATGGCAAGCTGATAAAGGAGGCAGTTGAAAAGACTATAGAATCTGGAAAGGTATGATCAAATTCGTTAACCTATATGCATTTATGTCAACACCAAGGAATGGATATTTTCTGAAACTCCTCACCTCTTGCATTTTTCAATCCCCCCTCATGGGGAAGGTATGGATATTTCTTGCACTACACAATATGCCCTATTCAGAACCTCCCCACCCTTGGAAATTTCATTCCCCTCAATGGAAGAAAATGTAGACGTGTATTTTTGAACTATACAACACACATCCTCCTGACTCTCTTCTCTGTATTTTTATAGAACTTAACAATGGACATGGGTGGAAGTGCCAGTACCTCAGATTTTATGCAAGCTGTGATAAATAACTTGCATCCACATTAACTCAACTACAATCTAGAATTTGAAACCAGTATATTATTTTAACAGCATCAGGTTTCTGTGAAACTGCTGCAAGATGAATGAGAATCTTATAAAATATCATTACAATAATAATACAAGAAAAGAGGATGTAATTATTATAACGGCAAATGTTCAAAAGACTTCCAATATTAAATACTGCTAAATTACGAATGTCAAAATGTTGGCAACTTCTTAAATAATACTGTATTATTTAGCCTACACATTTCATGTGTTGTCATGGAAACAGTTTTGAATCATTTAACCTCTGGCCATAAAATGTGGTGTCACAAAACACCTGCATGGCCTCTGGATAAAGTCAGTGAGAAATGAAACAAAAATAGTTATTTAAGGGGTTTTTTTCGCTATCAAAAGGAATCATATGACAAGAAGAGCGTGTTTGTTACAGATATATTCCATAATCTCTAAAATCTTTGAAGATTTAATGTGTTAAATCTTGGAGAGAACCATCGTGGGAACTGCCCAAGAAACTTTATTTTATTAATGAACAAAACAGTATTACAGTAGCTGGATCTATGAATAGTTAAAACAATATACTGTCTAACATTCAACACATTTAATTAATATCAAGAAACAAGACTGACATGTTACTATCATTATTTCATACAAGCTACAACTATATACACTAACATCAACACATTAATTAAATGAATTTGTCAAACTAAAACCTTTACTGATATTGATAAGCAATACTCATGCAGACTTTCTCAAGTCTAAACAGAAAAGATTCATCACAAAAAAGTTCTACCATGCATCTATAATGTGTTAAATGGCCTGATTTACAAGAGCTATTATATTACACATACATGGTATTAATTCAGCAAACTTTTCACTGTATTAGTAAAGATACAATTTGTCTAAATTAATATTATCTCATGGCACAATTTAATGATTATTATGAGATCAAGGTTTTCCTAATTTAAGTTTAATGTAGTAGTTCCTCCATTACTAGTGTTAATATCTGCAGCATATTGTCACAGCAATACAATATTATAAATGTAATGTTGCAAAAAACTGCAGATTAAATGCATCAGCCCAACTTTGATATTGCAAAATGCTCCCATAATCTTAGGATATACAAGTAACTAATATTTATGCTTCAAAATCCAATTCTCTGGCCAAATTTTGTTGAGTGATGAAGTTATTCACTCAATTTTTTACCCATATCTTCCATTGTTTATTAATAAAAGAAAATGTTTTTATGGAAGGCAAAAAATTGCAGTTATTCGTAATTAATGTATCATCTCTCAAATAACAATAAGCCACAATTTTGTACCATTTTTGATACTTTTTTCCTGGCTGTTTTTGCTTTTATAATAATTATTATTGAATGAAAATAAAATAAATCATGATTACAGTTCAAGGAACATTGTAGCATAACATGTACTTTGATTAGCATGGTTTAAACCAGTATTAATCTCTTCTCCCAAGCATTCCCTAATTCTCCCAGTCAAAATTTCTAAAAAGAAATCAAGTTCTAAACCATGTTTATACGGCACACTAATCTATTTATGTTATTAATAAGTCTTCAAGATTTGAAATTCCTTATCAGCATTGGCCAACCTTTCATCAGCAGCTATAAATGATGTAGCTGGTAAATAAATAATCCTACTTGAAAGTACAGTATGTGTTTACGATAATCCCATGTCTTCATTATTATTTTACTTCTTTTTCATGTTTTTTACAACCCATTCCATTCCCGTCTGTAAATGAACATAGAAATATGTCAAATATTCACCAAATAAAACAGAAGACAACAAGAAATATTTTTGAATAAATATCATGAGAGTAATAATATGAATTTGAAACGCATCATGAATAAAACTACATCTGCCTATGGTCTTGACGTGGCCAATTTGTATATTACCACTATTTTCATTGCTATGCAATGATTGAGACAAAACTAGTGATGTTGAGAGCAGTTGACAGATTACTGTCAATCAAATAAATGGTTCAATTCATCTTCCATGTACGTACTACATCAATTCATCTAACAGTAGTCTCTTGCCCAATTTGCCTTGATCAGCACATATTAATACCAACAGTGGTAAAATGTTTCTGATAGATGTAAGCCCACTAATGTTTGGTTGACGGTACATACCTTGACTCCTTCATTCTTGATAGCCGAACATGCCTGTATTTGCCATGCTCTATCACGGATTGACTGTAGGTCTAATTTTTCTGATATCTGTGAAAAAACAACATTAGCTCAGATATCATTTTCTGCAGTAATACGATTCTTTATTTGTGTCATTGTTTTTGTTTGTTCACTAATATTGCACTAGTTTTTGTCACACATGATGTCTTATTAATTGATAATCAATCACTGCATGATAACAAGATAAGAAGCTAAAATCACACCAAACCTAGTCTCACACATCTACACATTTTTCTCTCTCTTGAGCAGGAAATATTGTTTTTAACCCTATTATCAGTATTCACTTACTTCAGCGGCTGGAGCAGCACTAAGTAGATCCTGTTTGTTGGCGAACACTAACAGTGGGACACCAAGCAATTTTTCCTCTTCCAATAATTCAGCCAATTCCTGAAGAAAAAAGACATTTTTCTTACATTCGCAATCCTCATTAGATCGACATTCTTCCTTCAAATACTTTTACACCAATGATAAAAAGGTAAATTATCATTACTGTTTCATTAGAAACATTGACACAGCTCACACTAGTTTTTAGCTAGTCATCTCTACTTTTACACCATAAACTTGTAATTTAATATTTTATCATTATTATTATTACGTGAAACGTATTGAAGAAATGAAAAAAAAATACTGATAATAATTTTTCTAATTGTAATAAGAAAATTCTGTTTTATTTGTTATTGTCTGTGATAGTGTGAAAATCTCAGAGAGATGTTTTGGTCTAATGATTGTGCGGGCAAACGCCGGGTAAACTAGGTCTATCTTGCGGTTCTACCTTATTATAGATACAAGACTGTTTACGCTTAGCAACCAAAGAACGAACTTCACTTACCACACCAGTCTCCTCCATCCGCTTGCGATCTGCACTATCTATCACATATATCTGAACACAGAAATAATAAGCAATAAATAAGGCAAGACTGAAGTAGCATTACAATACAATCAAGATGATCAGATCCTTGTTGTTATAGAAAAGGTTGTTTTATGCTCCATAACTCGCTCGATCTTTGTACCTAGCTACTTACCAGTACGTCTATGTCGTCGAAGTAATTTTTCCAGTACGGTCTAATCTTTCTTTGCCCTAAATAGACAATAAATCAAGGCTAGTACTGGTGTGTTATTGAGTTTGTTGTTTGATAATGAAGATAGCTCTTACCTCCGATGTCCCACACGTTGAGTCTTATGCCATTTTGAGACGAAACAGATTTGATGTTAAAGCCCTGAATATCAAACAAAAACGTCAATTGAAGGTTCACAGGAGCTGAGATGATCCACAGAAAACTAACCTGAGTAGGTGTTATGTGATTAATCTCTTCAGAAGCAAGTTTCTTGAGGATAGTTGTTTTGCCCGCGTTGTCTAACCCGAGCAACAAGATCTTCAAGTCCATGTCTTTATCAGATTTGAGCTTACGAAGTAAAGATAACAGACCCTAACAATAACAACAGCTAGTTAGACTAACGAATACCGAATACATATCTAGTCTTGCACCTCATTCTTACCATTTTATATCGACAATAAACACGCAGTTTTGAGAGAAGTAAAGGAAAGTTCGCGTTGTCGAGTTCTTGCAAATAAACAATATGGCGGCCGAGAGGGGTCCGTGACGTCATACCAGGATCATGGACGAGCTTGACTGGGTCTGTTGTTGTTCAAAGAAAGAAACATGGCTGGACTGGTTGGGAAGTCTTTGCTTCGCTATTCTCTTAGATCTTGTAGTCTAAGAGTTGTATCGCAGACAAGATTCTATTGTCAAGGGAATAAACCGATAAGTCGATTCCCTGTTCCTGAAATATCGAGCTTAGCAAGCGACATCAGGGAAAGAATAGATGAAGTTGAAGAAAAGGTACGAACTGCATGGTTAACACGATGTTGTATGAACTTTGATAACCTCAAATCCCTCATTCTTGATACTTTTGCACACACTCACTCTCTTCTATATTCGTGCAGTGGGATACTTCAGACTCTTTTTCCTTTTTGATTCCTTGTTGCCCGGCCTTGATGCTTGGATTCCTCATGTCCCTTCCCCCTCCAGGATATCAGCCATCCCTTCAAACTAGTACTTCAAGTTACGCTAGCTTCCATTTATCATATGGAATGCATTTGCATAAAGTATTACGTATCTTTTGAAAAGTACGATTTTGTATATACTTATTTCAATAAAGTTAGTCACCAAAAACCTATTAAGCTGTGATCGCTGAGAATCATGGGAAATTCACTTCATATTCATCAAGTAAAGCTTTTGACACAAACTGCAGCAGTTGAGGATGCTCAGAGGAGGTGAACTCGTAACTGGTAAAAGATCTCAAGTCCATCAACAGTTATCAAGAGCTTGAAATATGTGAAATGTGTCTACCCATAATCCTTGCCAGTCTCAGCTTTGTAGCTTTTCTGGTGACTAACTTTATTGAAATAAGTGTATGATCTTGATGACGAAGAGGTATGATCGAATAAGCTCGAATAGTGGTGATAAATATGCATGATGGTAAAGAATTAGAATGAAGATGCATTGATGATGATGGTGATGGTGCATGATGGTGATGATAATGATGATGGTGATGATAGTGGTAGTGGTGTAGGGGATGGTGATGGTGATGATGTAGATGTAGATGTAATGAATAATAATAACAATATTGATGGGAGTTTCTTATATAGCGCATTTCAAATATCTCAATGCGCTTCACATTTATGATCAGTGATCAGTGGAGGACTTTACGGAGGCACATGTATTGATGATAATCGTGATAATGATGATGATAGTGGTGGTGATGATGATGATGATGATGATAAAGTTGAAGATGCATTGCGTCGATTATGATGGTGATGATGATGGTAATGCTGGTTGTAATGATGACGGTGCCGATGATAATGATTGTAATAGTAATATATAGTACCAATAATGGTAACGATAGCTTTGACATTAAATGACTGTACATTTTTGGTTTCATTTAGTCTGGTTTTATCCCAAACGTCTTCAAAACCCTGGCGCACCGTCCCGCYGAGTTTCGCGCATTTTTTGATTACTATGATGCTCTGATGACCAAAGAGAACAACTTAACGAAGGCCGAGAAAGAGATGATTGTCGTGGCTACTAGTGCAGACAACAACTGCATGTACTGTGTCGTGGCACATGGAGCATTGTTGCGCATTTACTCGAAGAACCTGCTACTTGGTGATCAAGTAGCAATCAACTGGAAATCTGCTGATCTTACTGATCGTGAGAAAGCGATACTCGAGTTTGCTACAAAAGTAGGACGAAGCGAATCAATCGAAGAAGAAGACTTCAAAGCGTTGGAAAAACTCGGGTTGGGTAAAGAAGACGCATGGGACATTGGTGCTATAGCTGCATTCTTCGCCATGTCTAATAGATTAGCACACATTACTGACATGAGACCTAACGATGAATTCTACCTTCTTGGCAGACTTCCCAAGAATAAAAAATAAATGCGCAATTTAGCCACCCGCTGCAACATTCTTATGAACATTTAAAGTATTTAGGCTTGGTTTCTTTTGGGTGTCAATGGTTTTTGTTAAAGTCACGGCAGCATCGGTTAAAAATTCGTTCAAAAGCGGAGATAATAAGGATGAATATTAACCTTTTTCGCACAGTATCATCAGAATAAGAAATTTAAATTTAGGGACTAAACCAAATATTTTTCAATAGAATTAGCAACAGTGCTCGACTTATTTTGGTCTTAAGTTTTCATTAATAAATGTACGAGTGAAACTTGAAGATGCTCGAAATGGCATGGCATGCGTAAGTCGCAGACCTGCGCACTAGTAATGCTTCCAAGTGACCTCGTTGTGTTCATCTGTGCAAACAAGTAGGCAATCATCAAAAGCTTGCATGTGTTTCTGCTGACCAGCACCCAAGAGACCTAAACCTGTAGCTAATCCAATTTTAAAGCAATTTGATTGGCTTATGCATTCTTATGGGAGTCAGATCTTAAAAAAGTGGGTCCACCTCTGGACTACAGAAATGCGAGTTTGGATAATAAAATGACCAATCAGTCCTTTGATAAAAAGGTTCTTTGGCAAATAGGTTACACCCTTTACCAAGGCAAGAGTGCGTGCGCATGATCCACGGCGGATAAAGCCTGTTACCCGCACACAGTCACCAACGCCTTTTTTCGAATATTTGGCGATCACTCAGAGTGGGAACTACTAAATGTTCATAAACACAACACAGGCTCAGGTCAAACATCGAACTTCATATGAGCCGAACCTAATGACATCAAAGAAGACCGCCTCGCTATCCATTATTTCAATATGTTCGGCTCACGTGAAGTTCGACGTTTGACATGTGCCTAAGAACATTAATAACGAACCAGTGGTGGTTCAAAGCAAAGAAAATGCAATATAGATCATATCACAACCAACTTCCTGCAGTTTTATCTTTGATTCTCTGCAATAAGTCATATAATTATGTCAACATTACAATATATATTTTCAAGCATGCTAAATATTGGAATGATATTCAATGAATAATTTAAAATTTCTATGTAAGATCAAAAAAATAAAACTGTTTTTGGAAAATACAATTAAATGCAGCAATTGCAAAATCAATTTGAAATAAGCTAAAATTCTTTTAGAGTGCTTGTTCAACTTGATAATTTCAGTGCAAAACAAACTCAAAGATGTAACTGACTTGTCCTCTTTGAGACAGCGGATTCAATTCAGGGACTCTGTTATTCTTACTAAACAAAAGTGATTCTCAAGTCTTCGGTCTCGTAGGTCACGTACGGATCGAGTTTGGGAATTTCCTTCCCAGGCTTCCTCGAACTATCCAGCGAGTCTTCAAGAAGCCTGGAATTACGTTTCTGTAAAACATTGTCTCTAAATACTTTAGGTGCCGCTAATGGCGTCCCCTGATTGGTCGGTTCGGCTACAAATGTTCTGTCATTAGTAGATGGAGTAATGGTTTTATTCATGCTTTGGTCCGGGGAGGGTGTGACAGTCGATGACTCAAATTCACAAAGTGGAGTAGGAGGAGGAAAGTCAGCCACATCTAACTCATCCATTTGCTCAGGTAAAGGAGAAGGGGGGAGGGGTAGGGGACTATTGGTAGTCCTGTCAGTACCCTGCACAGGAGATGGTAGTCTTTCCACAGAAGATAACACTTTCAATCCTTCAGTAGAAGGTGTTGAAGTAACTTGTTCAGGAATGGATTCATTGTCAGCCTTTGAATTCTTGTCATCCTCAAGTCCTGCCATTAGCTCCTGTGAGACCGTGATGGGTTTAGGGCGTGGTTTGGTATCCGAGCAACTCGAAACAACCCGATAAGGTTTGGCACAGATGGCTGCAGATGAAGGTATATACACCTCTGCTTTCTTAGCGTTAGCTTGAGGGAAACGGAATRGAGATGATATGTTCCCTTTACTACCAGCATCAGTATCACTTACATGACGTACCCTACTCGACCTTTTCCCTGTCACAGGACTTGCTTCGAGCACGTAAGGTACATTAGAAGGATGATCAGGAGCACTCGATAAAGAAACTGTCCTCTGTTTAGAAGAATAGGTGTGGTATTTTTGTACCGGGACCCCCTGAGTGACTTTAACCGCATTCTTGTCATGATGGGTGTGTTCATCTATACGGCCTTTAATATTCCCCGTGGATGTGTGTAATCCACGTTTAGTATTTACAGTTATTGGCTGGGTATTACTGGTGCGTGTAGGTAGCGTATCAGGCATACTCTCAGAATGTGTCACGCGAAGTTTCTGTTGTCTTACGTGACTAAGAGAGGTAGTACCATCTAGACGTACTGGCGTGACGGCCTCTACCTTGAAAACAGCACCATCAGTAACAGCTCTTGGTCGAACTACGTTAATTCTCCTATGATGTTCTTGTCGTTCCCAAGGAGAGTAAGATTGACTCCTAGTAGGGCTGCCTTCTTCATCATTCTCAGCCTGATGGTTTTCCGGGATGGAAGCAGCTTCAGACATGGATCGTCTTCGTAGTTTTTCTGCTAGTTCTTCCATTAAGTCTACTTGCCCCTGCATGCCTGCTGGAGTCGATAATGTTTTTCTAATCACAGGTCTTTCTTCTTTTCTTAATTTCAAGCTTTCTGTCTTTTGATGTGAGCGCACTTCCATGACAGGCGGTGGTGGCGGCGGTGGTGGTGGGGGTGGGGGTGGCGATGATGATGGTGGTGGCGATGATGATGATGAGGGTGGCGATGATGATGATGAGGGTGGCGATGATGATGATGANGTGGGGGAGGGGGAGGGGGAGCTGAGGAGTCATTTTCGTCTATTATATCTTGATTTATCTCTCGATTTATTACAGGAATCCTCAAGAAGTCTGGTAATTCAAAGTTTTCTTTTCCTAGTGCTCCACGTTGGTCGTCCATTCTCTTGCCTTGCGCTCGACTTAGAAGATCTAACAACTCTGCAAAACCAGAAAGAAAGTGGGTAAATAATGATATGGAACAACTAATCCCACCCAAGGCTAGCCGACCACAAACAACAAGCCAAAAGTAGAGTTTCCTTGCCTTAATCAGTGAATGAGTAATATAAGGAATTATAAAGATCAAGTAAACTAGCTTTGCGAAAGAAATGATGTAATAACAGATGGATATGAATGATATCGTGTGCCGGTTGCAAGCGATTCATTGCATTAGTACAACATGTCATCAACTGTTGAAGTACACTGGTCTGTGTACTTGTTTTCAGTCGCATTCATTCACTTTGTAGATTTTTAAATAAATATTTCGCCTTCAAACTTCAGTGTTTTCAATACACCAAATGAAATGCCTGCTTGTAATGCATAATTTATTGGTTTTATTGATAAGTCCCAAACTTATCCATTTGTTAATCCACAGGATAGCTAAATAAACACAATGCCTCACTTTGCATTTTTTTATATTATAAAAAATGGTTTTGTTTCAAGCACGAAAAGAAAGAAAAGATTAATGAATTAACCCAGATCAACGCTCTACATCAAACAGGGCTTTACACCACCAGGGATATACGCTATAAATACTTTATTTCATTAAATATTTATGCATTCTCCCGATAAACCTTTTAGAACTTCGAAACAGAAATGAACTCTGGAAACTTTCCCAACAGTGTGCCGTGAAAGAGTTTTATGCATGCAAATTAAAAATACAAAATATAGCCGAAGGTACTAGAAGGGAAAAGAAAAGTGAAGAGAAGAAAATTCCCACTACAATCCGGAAGCGTTTGATAAAAATATTGATCAAGAGCTGGTTTCAAGCAAGAAAATCATTTTGAAATTAAAATCCTAAGTTTACAAATACTTTGAGATTACAGTCAGTTTAAGATGCAGGAAAATTTTCTAGTTTTATTGTGTCAAGAACAAACAGATTTGGCCATGAGCGAAACTTGAACTTACGATTATCAGGATGAATTTGCAGAACTTGCCGAAAAAATACAAAAGTAGAATAATATGAAGAAAGCATGAGTTTCCACTATAAAGAAATCCGGTTACTATATCATACATAGCCGCCACACTTTACTGAGGAGCTGAGGATATTCATTTTGAAGTGAAAATTGTATAAAGCAACTACTAAAATAATAAAAAATATCGTGATTAACCAACCTGTAACTTCTGTATTACTCTTGGAGGTAGGTTTTCCTGCTTTAACCGAAGATCTCTCCTTATCGTTAGATTCTTTTCGTTTTCTGCTGAACAAACCAGGTCCTCGTAGAAAGYTTCTACCAAAACTATCGTCGTTCAAAGACTCATGGCTTCGAAAAGGCTTCAATCCGGGAACCCATACATTTGCGTCGTCAAAGTAACCGTCACCTAGCGACTGTTTTTTGCCTCGCATGATATCATCAAATATGGTATCATCCCAGCTGCTGCCTCGCCTGCTGCCGCGACGAGGCGAACTGAATCCAACTGGAGGTTTGATGTTAATTTTAGGTGGGCCATTGTTGTTACCTGTGGGAAGTGGATAGGAAGAAATGAAATAAAAACATGAAAAATATAACAGCTGTTTTAATGAGGAACTTTTTGTAACGTTTATCATTTTTCAGTTTTGTCTCTGTCATCAGAATGAAAACCACTGACTGACAGACAATCCCAGCCAAAAAAGACATTTCAGTTTCAAATTGTAAATGCCAGGAAAAGAAGGCACGAAATACAAGGCTAATGTGAGGCGGTTGGCAGACACTTACAGCCAGCACACTCCGGTGGTCAAAGATAGATGCTTCCTAAATTTACGTGTTTCAAAGCCTAAAGGTTATTATTATAGTCCTGGGTCCAGTGATTTGCGTGCTTAAAAATGGATAAAAACGGCGGGTTTCACTTTTCAAACTTATGATGAAAAAGAAAGAAGAAATAAACGAAAAAATTAATCACGATAAAACTAGACGAAAAGAATATGAAACGGAAAAATAGAAATGAATGCGCAAAGTTGCGGCATCGTTCGTTCATTAAGGATATAAGGTTTTAATATAGATTATAGAACTGAACACAAAGATTCATTGTCGACTCAAGTACGAAGGTAAACGATATTCTATATTTAAAGAAAAACTAATTAGAAAACCAAAGCCACAAGGTAAAGCCTCGAATGAAATTCTTAATTTATGTTGAGACATTTCCTTTCTTTTCTTGGAGCAAGAAAGGATTGATAGTTAGCAAGAGAGGAATAAAAAACGATTGTCATGTATAGTATCAAGCGTGACAGGCGGACATGCTAATGATCCATGGATCGAACCACCTGCCAAGCCCACTCTTCAACATATTTCTGTTAGAAATCATTCTACATGTAGGGGTATAACTACCACCTTCACTACAGGTTTTTTCAGGGTGCGCTGATTCGTTTTAATGGTCAAAATACCCTGAATATTAGTCAGTACAGTGGTAGTGAAGTGTAGGAAGAAATTACAGTGTTAAAAACAATAAAGCTATAAATCTAGACTCATAAATGAGCTGTAGTAACAAAGCTACGCTTCGAGGAACATCAAAAATTGTACAAAACTAGTTTCATAACGAAAAAGAAGTAGATATGAAATGACAGTTCTGCGCCACTCGAGTGAGGTACCATTGAGGTACCATTGAGGTACCCCCCTCCCCCTCCCCCTCAGGGTCTTTACAGAGATGATGTTATAGCTATTCTTATGTTTTTAGTTGACTGGATTGCACCACATCCTATATTTTACGTCAAAG